TGTGTTTTGTCATTCCAGTGTCTGTGAGCACTTGCTTGTATTGCACGTCAATCCTCCAGGGAACTCAAATGGAGAAAACTGAAACCTCTCTACTTTCTCTAAGTGTTCTTACAGGAACACATACAACTGCTTGTCACTCAGTAAACTGTACTGCTGTTAACTTACAGCATTTCTGCTAACTAAACCACAGAGTAAATATGATCAAAGTCACTACATGTGGATGGTGCGTAACTAAAAATGTTTGGAGAACTTCTATTATTGTAACATTGCAACTCTCTGTTCCAAATGAATAACACATCTCTAACCATGGATTTCAAAAGGAATGATTCAATGGTCCCCAAACAACACAGCATACAAATCACATAGGAAAACAAAAACAATATCAAAAAACAAGTTCCAGTGTGATGGAGGAAGGTCATTGGTTGAATAAAAAGAAACTGCTTGGCCCTCATTGGTTAGAAGATAGGTGGGAGGAGTAAACAGAACAGAACACTGGGGGGAGTGGAAGTGAGCTCAGACTCCACAGCTCTCCTCTCGGGAGCAGACGCCTCAGAGAGACACCATGCTCCCAGCTCCCAGGCAGACGCACGCGATGAAGCTCCGACCCAGGATGGACATAGGCTAGAATCTTCCTGGTAAGCGCACCTAGGGGCGCTACACAGATGATTAGAAATGGGCTAAATTAATATGTGAGAATTAGCCTAGAAGAGGCTAGATAGAAATGGGCCAAGCAGTAATTAAATGAATATAGTTTGTGTGTTGTTATTTCAGGCATAAGCTAGCCAGGCAGCCAGGGTGCTGGGGACGCAGCCCCGCCACCCTTATCACTACACAGGTGGTGGTGGCACATGCATTTAATCCCAGCATTTGGGAAGCAGAGGCAGTTGGATCTCTGAGCTTGAGGCCAGTCTGGTCTCCAGGATAGCCAGAGCTATAAAAGGGACCCTGTTTCAAAAACAAAACAAAACAACAAAAAACTACAAAGTACCATGCTTCATGAATGCAACTCTGATAAATGAAGCAAGAAAATTTGAAGCTGTGGTTTGCTGGTAAAAGAGATAAATTACTACTTCAGTTGAAAAATCTACAGATGGTGAGAAAGTGGCATGTTATCAGTCTTTGAAAGTGTGTTCCCAGGGTAGGTAAAACTTGATTAATTTATTAATTAAAGCATACTAATTGATAAAAATGAGGATACCACTTCCATTTTCTAGATGACAGGATATTACATAAAATAAGTAGTTTCAATGTGCCAATTTTCTTAGATTTTTCACCATGTCACATAGATGTTTGTGTTTATGAATGTTTAAAGAACTAAAATAGACAAAATTTTAACAATTCTAATGAAAGAAAATCAAAGTACAAGGAAGCCAAACAGAAAGAACTTGGGAGTGAGAAACAAGGACAATGTGCTGATATTCAAAGACAGCAAACATTGCAGACACTCTGAATAATTGCTGTGGGAGCTCTTTTTGCTCCTTCAGCCAATAGCCTTTAAGATACCAGCTCCACATGATTGGCCTCAATTAATCTCAACAGTCCTAGAAAATGGACCTCAGCTGCTTTGGAAGTGTTATTTGAGAGAAGAGGCAAAATTTTTGTTCTGAAGACCAGAGCATTGTGTTAAGAGGTTATATGACACACACTGGCTTAGATATTACTATAGAGATTCACACCACTCATCACACAGAATAGTTATAGTTCTTCCTATTCCATTATGTTTTAGGAAATTACAATGAAAATGCATTCAATAGTTTAGCACTTTGTTTTAGCTCACATAATTGACAGTTGATGGAATAGCATAAATATTTCATTTCTAAGATATATACATGAAAATTTATTTTTATTTAGATATTGCTATTGATAACACATAGAGTTAAAAACCTTAAACATTTGAATATCCATGTATTTAAGTGTATGTGAAATTTTTGTTTTGATTATTTATTTATATTGGCCTAGTTGTACTTTCTAAAGTTTAGTTGGGGAAAAGTACATCAGATAGGAGTTTGGATACAATAATAAACATGCCCTAAATATCAGTTACTTAAACAACCCGAGTTTCCATCCATGTTACACACCATGGGAGGATTACCAGAGCTCACTGCTAACCATCCTCACTCTGAGACTCAAGCTGAGGGACCAGCACCTTCTCCAGCATATCTTAGGCAAGACAAACTAGCAAATGCATTTCAGTGATTAAACATGGGAGGAGCAAGCATTAATTTTGGTCTTAGTTTTTTAATAAAGTTAGAATCACACACAAGAAGATCACAATGAAGATAAAAATGAATTTTTAACTAGAGAATTTAAAACTAATGTGTAGCCTATCCCTATCTCAAACTGCTTTTAGTTTTTAGCCAGGCAGTGGGCATTTGGGAGGCAGAAACAGGAAGATCTCTGTGGGTTTGAGGCCAGCCTGGTCTACAAGAGCTAGTTCCAGGACAGGAACCAAAGGCTATGTAGAAAGCCTGTCTCAACAATTAAACAAAAACAAAAACCCCTGCTTTTAGTTTTTTATAGAGAACATAGACAAAAATAAAAGTAAAGTGACTCCCCCCTGCTACTGAGATGCAGAAAACAAGACCAATAAGCTTGTAGACACATCAGCTACAGGGAATTACATCTACTTGAATGAAATGATATCTAGAAACAATAGAAATCAAGAAATTTCAGACTGCATAAGAATGAAGATCTTGTGAGACTTTCTGTCTTTAGACAGATTGGCTTCGCTTACTCATCATCATCAAAAGCAAGAAATACAATTTGATTTCCAGTGGGACATACCTGCCCCTGTGGACCGTTCTCCCCAATTGATGGGCCAACGGGGCCCTCAAGCTTGAGAACCAATGGTACTTGTAATTGCTTTCTCCACTCTTGCAGTCACAGCTGTGACGGGTATTCATTCAAAACCACAAAACTAACCCTTTAAAAGCTTTCATATGAGATGTTTGCTTCAGAGATCCCAGTTGCCATGGCGTGGCTCATAGATGTATCCCGACAGGAAAGTGCAAGGACCACGGATTCAAGTTCTGGATATGATTTTGCTTTTTAGTTTTCATTCTCAAACACCCATGGGGAACAATTCACCCACCAATACCTCCATTACTCTTGAAGTAGTGGTCTGTATTATTTATTCACACAGTGCTTCTAGAAACTAAATGAATTTATAGTGCAGTCAGGTTATACATATGTATTTAACATCATTTTGATGCAATATATTTTAGCTATATTCTGTTCCTTCAAAATTGTAGCTAAGCAGTGACCCTTAAGAAATATGGGAATCAATATGTATTTAAAACTAAGGCCAGCTGTTTGTTAAAGATTAGCATATAATTCCACAATAACTTTCTTGTGTTTTTTCTGTGTATTAAAGTCTAGAGAAATAAAAAGCACATGCATATATTTAAAGTAATTTTAGGGAATGAAAAAATAATTTGGGAGATTTTCTTATTTTAATATCAAATATGGATATATTAATAATTTTCCAGGTTTTTATATGCTCATGTTCTATTTATTTCTACTAGTAAAATATTATTTGATATTTTTATGGCCTAACATAATGTACATTCTTTACTCTAAAAATTCTTTAAATTCTCAACATACATACAGGTCCCTGTCTTTTGTTTGAGATCTGACAACAATCTCAAAACTCATCTTAATTTTCTAGAGGAAAAACACCTGGAAAATAGTTCTCAGTAATAAAATCTATTTTGATTTGAAAATATTTTTTATTTCTCTCAAGATTTTCCCTTTGGAATAATCTCCATTATTATAGTAGAGTGATAAAAATATTGACATTTAAAAATAAACAAACAGGAACACTACAGGGGTTAGCCTCCCACACTCAATCCTATCTCAGAGTAAAATGATGAAACTTTCACGAGAGAAGATGGTGAGGTCATGTCAGCACCTGGCTGCTGACTGAAAATGTGGTGACAGTTGTCTGAGGGATTGTACAATTTCAACCCTTGAAACTCCAGAAGCCTGACAGGGTTATTCATCTCCACCTGAAAATATTTTAAATTGGATGGAGTCGAGTCTCCTGTCTGGGTTATGGCTAAAAGACAGGGATATTCAGGAGTATCTCCAAGATTAAAATCTTCCTACCCATACCCCACTAAACCATGCATAAAATGTGTATAATTAGTATTTACAACCTTATAATTCTGTGATTATATAAAATACCAGGGCTTTAAATACCAAAAATGAAACTTCATGAATTATATCTTAATAAAAAAGCACTTTAATGAACAATATAACAAGAAAATCACATTCTTTCATCTAAAATTCAAATCCCTAATTCCTACCCTAGACCAAATTTTTTGTAGCCTCTATGAACCAGTTCCTCTACGAGCATGTGTCAGACTGACTTTGTTATTCTCAAGGAAGGAATGAGTTCATAGTTCTTATTTTGATGTATTAAAAAGACTATTCTTCCAGTTGAATTTTTTTCCTTATCCTGAATTTTTTCCTGATCTGAGAGCAAAACAACACCCGAGGCTAAATGTCTTCTAAAGGAGCAGCTTATTCATGCATGTTTATACAATGCTTTTCCAAGTGAACAATACCCAACAAATAATGGTATTGGATTTCATCAATTTCACTGAGCAATTAGAAGCTCAAGTTCAGAAAGTTTTAAGCAAACATCTCACCTCTGTTTTTGTTGTTTTTAGTGTATTGAACTGAATGAAGCTAAACTGGAATTGAATAATTGAAGTAGAGAAGACTGTGTGTGTGTGTGTGTGTGTGTGTGTGTGTGTGTGTGTGTGTGTGTGCATGTGTGCATGTGTACTTGCATGAAGGGAAAAGACAGAGAGAGACTGATCGTATTTGTCCAGAAACTTTACTGATCTGAATGGAGTTTACCAGTTTTGAAACAGCAATAATATTTCTCCTTTCAATGATCTCAGTCCCCTTCTTCATAAGATGCAAGAGGATGGCATTCATTTGCCACACATTATTAGGAAGAATGACAAGACATGACACTTGGCTTCACTCACCCCTTCCAGAACAAGGCAGGTCAGAGCCGCTCTGGCATCTCCTGGCGCTCTCCTCAGCTGACAATGGGCAGGATTTTGGGTGCTCACAATTCTTCCCATACCAGCCTGTCCTACAGTCACATCGTCCACAGTTACACTGCCCATGACCTTCATAGAAAAGGGGAGGGGGAGAGCACATAAAGATTATATAATCAGAGATAGTTTATAGCTTTTATTCTACTAGTGATTTTCAGGAGTAAGTCAGGATCTTAATTTCCACACCACCAACCATTAAGGCAAAGGAACATTTTTCTCAACTATTTAAACAACTGATGTACATTAACAGATTGAAAAGAACAAAGAAAATCAACAAGTATGAATAAAACAAATGGTTTAATAAAGTTTTAAATTTGAGTCTATTAAATTCTAGATAAATGTTATTATATTGGTCTCTGGAAAGTAAGTGTAGTATTTGATAGATTTGCCCTTTAAGGTGAGGGAGAATTATAGGAAATGGAAAACAAACAGTTTTGAAGGAGGAGGATTTTTTCCTAATGAATCTTTCAACTTTTCTATATCTACCTTAAAGAAACAAGGAGCCACAGTGAATTCATGAAACTAGAATTAGTGATAAGCTTAGAACTCCACTCCTGAGCTCTGTTAAGCTATCATATACATATAAAGTAGAAGTGACTGAAGGATCAATGGAAATGGACCAAATGATGTAACTATAGTGTAATTTTTTAATCTATGAAAATGTACATAATGAAAGTACATAGGAGTGATGCTGTTCTCATTGTGATACACAATGATACACACTCATTGTGAAATGGTTACCACAAACAAGCTAATGGCCATATCTCTCACCCCACACATGTGTCTAAGAATATGCTCGATCTATCTTCCTCACAAATCTAAAGTACCCAAAGCATAGTAATTATGTTCGCCATGCTAAATGTTATGACTTCTGGACTTATTCATCTGTAACTTTGAACATTTATATGCTTTGGTCAATAACTCCGACTCTTCACTTCTTTACCACCTTTCTACTATGTTTTTAAGAAAAATATTTGAGGGCTGGAAAAAAGTCTCAGCGGTTAAGAGCACTTACTGCTCTTCCAGAGGACCCAGATTAGGGCTTCAGCAAAGGCATGGTAGTTCACACCTATCTGAAATTCCAGTTTCAGGAGATTTAATGCCCTTTTCTGACCTCTGTGGAAACCAGCAATGCAAATAATACACATACATGCATGCAGTCAAAACACCCACACAAAAGATGACAATTGTGTAAATACAATAAAAAATAATATAACAAATTTAGATTCTGTACAATTATGTTCTATGATTTCTCTATTTTAGTAGCATAATGTCTTCATGGTTCAATCATGTTATTGCAAATGATATTCATGAATAACACATTCCACCATATACATCTGTATCTACATATACATATAACCTTCATCCGTTCATCTAGCCACAGCCACTTGTTTCTAAACCTTGGCTATTATGAAAAATAGCACAAAGCCGGTAATAAAGCTTCTGCTTCAAGACAATGATTCTGTTTCTTTTGGGAATGCACTCAGGAATCTTTTCCTTTCATTTTCCGCCTCCAAACTCACATATACCTTTCTGTACTCTCCTTAAAATTCACAGCCTAATTTTTCCTTACAAATTATAAAATCCATATTGCAAAGGTTTTTTGTTGGCTTTTGTTGTTGTTATTTCTGTTATTGTAGTAGTAATTGTTTTACCATATACTGTGTTGGTTCAATGATAATTTTATGGGTCAGAGTGAAATGGTATAATAATGATCATCAAATGTAAATATTTTAAGTAATAAGTTGAATTCAGTGAATATTTTTTGAGTCCCTGTTACAAGGTAATCTATTCAGCAAGGTGCTTCATCACTAATCTCTATAATGGAAAATATGTATTATTGACAAATACTTATGACGTGTGAGCATGGCTATTTAGACCTTCCAATATGAGAATTTTACATATAATTTTTGTGCTTTTTAAAGGCTACATTTCATACATCATTTAATTCTGTGGCATTTTTTGCAGTTTATCACAGCTTAAGAAATTTTAGTTATTAACTAATTAGTTTTAGTTATTAGTTTTAACTCAGAATACTACTAAGCCTAGGGTCACCTATGAAAGAACTCTGAAATGAAAGGTTCTCTAAACAGATTGACTCATAGTCAAGTCTGTGAGGTACTGTCTTGATTTTTAATTGATAAGGAGGTCACACCCTACTGTTGGCAGCACTGTACCCTTGGCAAAATAGTCCTTAACCAAATTAGAAAGATAGCGAAATATGGGTCTGTGAGAGAGCTAGCAAGAAACCTTCCTCTATGATTTCTATTCCAAGTTCCTGTTTGAATTACTGCCATGATTCCCCTCAATGATGGACTGTGACCTGGAAGTGTAAACCAAACAAGTCCTTCCTACCCTTAAGTTTCTTTGGTCAGAACATTTGTCAGAGCAACCTAATGAAACTAGAACACCATCCTTTTTCTCTGCCCTCCTGAAAATAAGGACAATCAGATATGTATGTATAAATAATTATATTTTAAACAAAAAGCTTTAACATTTAAAGTATAATTCATTCTGTTATTAGTTGACAATCTTAGCAATAAACTCAAAGGAATCGTTAGATTAAAGGAGGAAAAGTTTTAAAACTGTAAATATCTGAGCAAGAATCTAGTAGATGAGAATGCCCTTAAATCCCTAACTTACCCAAGAAGGTGCCACCTACTGATGTGACCCACAGGAATTCTCAGTCAGGGAGAGTCTCCCCCCCCCCCATCACACAAAGAGAAAGATAATATCCAACCCAGAGAGGGCAAAAAGAAGTAAAAACCTTGGAGACAGGTGCAGAAAGAAAACAAGGACTGCATTTAACATTGTCAAGTCAGAACACATGCTTAAATTTTGTAATGATCATTTTCTATCTGAAGTTCATTTGTGTGACAACATTAGCAAAGAAGACCCAAGTATGGTAGCACACAACATTAATTCCTGAACTGGGGAGGCAGAGAAAGAGGCAGCAGATCCCTGAGTTCAAGGCAAGCTTGAAATTCAAAGTGAGTCCCAGATCAACTAGAGCTACAGAACAACTCTGTGTTGGGTGGAGGAAAGTGGCATAAAAGAGTCTTAAGATGGTCATAAGTTATTAAGAAAAAATTTTTTAGAGTTAGAATCTGATCCAATTACAAAAAAGAAATTAGATTAATTTCGGAGGACTAAATGCTATTTTTATTCATATTTTAAATTATATTTATTAAGTGGAGGGAGGCAGGTATGTATACCACAGAGCACATATGGAGGTCAGAGGCCAACCTGAAAAAGAAATCTGTTTTTTTCTTGCTTAATATGGGTCTGAGAAATTAAACTAATATAAGGTTTGGTGGCCATTTCCAACTGTCATGTTGATGGTCCCTCAATTGTTGTTTAATAAATTGCATGTGATTCTCACCTAGAAAAAAAATCATGTTGGGACTTTTGCCACTACGCTGTCATATTCACTTTCTGTTTCTTACTAGGTCTATTTTATTCAGTTAGTTTTTAATTCTCTAAGCTTTTCCCACTTTTGTTTTGTTTTTCCTACGTTGTTTGACAATGCTATCTTGTTTTGCCATTGTTATTTCCGTGTCCTCCACAGAGCAGAGGAGGGGACAGACTGTGATCTGCACCACAATTTCTCATGTGATTGCAATACTTGGCATTATGAATTTCTTGAGGACAACTCCTGAAAATTTAAATTTCATGTCCAGGCATGTAAACTCTAACTTTTAGTTATTCAAAAGCTATTAAATATCAGTCATTTAAAAATCCATATGGGTTAAAGACTATGTCATGGGTATAGCTGGCTCTGAGATCAAAGTCATTGCCCTTGAACATAAAGTGTCAAGGTGGGAGAACACTGTCTGGTTTAAGATGATTGCACACTCTACTGAACCATCTGGATATGTATATGTGTTCCCTTTTTCAATTTTTTTTCAAAACAATTCAGTATTAGCCAAAATTGTTTAACTTGGGAGACATTAAAACAGAGCAGTGCATAAGTCATACAAGTTGTATGTGTTCTTCAGAGTTGGTGAACACACAGCAATCGATATAAATCATGACATCTCAACATGGTATAGTTTCTTTTTTTTAATGTGGGGAAAGTGATATTTCCTAAGTCAAACAAACCAATGAGGAGCACACAAGAAGCAAATACAAGAGTCATAGGAAAGTTTCTGTAAATCCTGTCTACAGTGAAGGGAAGTAGAGTTAACATTGACAATGCCAAGCTGGGTGCAATGGCTTCAGCCTATAACCCAGCATTCCAGAGGCTGAGGCAAAATGACTGCTTCCAGCTTAAAGTCAGTCTGGGCTACACAAGGAGTTCCAAGCCAGATCTGCCTGTGAAGTAAGACTCAATCTCAAAATAAATAAATAAATAAAGAGTATCCTTGACTAATTTAAATATTTATTCAAGACTAACTGTTGTAATTTTCAAACATGATTTTTACTTTCTCAGTAGTGAAAACTCTTCTCATGCCTTGATTTCAAGAATTCTGTTCTATGCTGTCAAAATAAATTTCAGAACGTTAGCAATTTCATTCTAAATAAAACTGTGCATTTCCTACGGAAAATTTTTAATCCATATAGTCAGAAACTGGTTTAGAAGTGTAAAGTATTGACACCAGATTGCCAGGAAGTGGCTGAGTCAGAAAAGCACTTGGAAGTGCAAGGGATTGATACAATTTCTGAAGCAGGCACTGAGTCCTAAGGAGGAAACTACGAAATAACACTGTGATCTCTCTTCTGGATTTACTAGTTCCTCAATTCCAGCCAAAAAGCCCAGCTAAAGAGAAAGGGATCATTGAACAGAAATAAATTCAGGAAGATAAAGGTTTGATTTTGATAAAAAAAATAATAATTTAAAGTAAAAGACATGTTTGGCATGAGAACTAGTTAGTCTAACACACTGAAACATACAAATGTAGGGGGAAAAGTCTTGATATAAATAAAAATAGGCATTTTGCACTTGATTTACATATGCCAATGTCTTTCATAGGCCTCATCAGAATTTAATCTGTCTTACACACAAACTCTACGACTAAAAAAATGACCAGAGTTAACAACCACTGGTCATTAATATCACTTAATATCAATGGACTCAACTCACCTATTAAAAGGCACAGGCTAAGAGATTGGATAAGAAAACAGGATCCAACATTCTGCTGTTTACAAGAAACACACCTCAACCACAAAGACAGGCACCTACTCAGAGTAAAGGGCTGGGAAAAGGCTTATCAAGCAAATGGACCTAAGAAACAAGCAGGTGTGGCCATACTAATCTCTAACAAAGTTGACTTCAAACTTAAATCAATCAGAAGAGATGGAGAGGGGCATTTTATACTCATAACAGGAACAGTTCAGCAGGATGAAGTCTCAATCCTGAACATCTATGCCCCTAATATAAAAGCACCCACGTACATAAAAGAAACATTGCTAAAACTCAAGGCAGCCATCAAACCGCACACACTAATAGTAGGAGACTTCAACACTCCTCTCTCACCAATGGACATGTCTTTCAAATAGAGAGAAACAAAAGGGACCCTTAACACACTGATCATAATATAATGTTTCCAGGCTAGTTTGCAAACCTGTGAATGTTTTAGGCGTGTAGGAGTTAGTCTCATTTCTTCTAACAAGTATTCTTTAAACTGCATAGGCAGATCAACAACACTGAGATGAAAAATGTAGTATGTTATTGTTTATCCCAGATCTCAACATCAAAAGTATTAAAATTAGAAACCATTCTCAGATACCCTGTACACATGTGTGCATGGACACACACACGTACACACATACCTGTGCACAAACACATGTACACACACACACACACATGAATATAGACACACTCAAGTACACAAACACGCACACAGAGATGTGTTTTAGTATAATCTGTCTAATACAGATGTGACTGCTGTTCAGGCTACCTCACAGGGTGAAAAATGTTCACAGCATGACTCCTAACCCAATGTGCAAGAAAGTTACCACAAACTCTCAGGCTGTTCTAGGATGAGTGTGACACCCAAACCCACATTTCATTTGTGGATTGTGTTCCCTTGAGTTACAGGAGCTAAATTCTAAAAAAACAAAAATCAGTCTGGGATAAACTTAATTACTTAGTTAAATATATTTCAACTATTTTTTTCTCTTGGAGGAAATATTTCTTTTCTTTTTTTAAATCTAAAATAAACTTTATTTACTCTGTGTGTTTTTCACATCATGTGCCTTGATCCCATTCATTCCCCATCCCTTCATATCCACCCTCTGCTCCTGTACACCTCATCCCGAATAAAACAAAATTCAAGAAAAAAAAAAAGAAAAGAAAATGAGAAAAATGACTTAAACTGAAGGAAATAAAAATGTTGTCATGGAAACTGCAGTGCAAACCAACACGTAACATCGTATGCCCCTTTGTCCATACATCTCTACTTGCAAGTATTCATTGCAAAGAGTCATTGGTCTAGGATGCCCTCTTTATATTTCATTATCTGAAGGCCTACATTTAAAACAGAATTCCACATCGGTGGTCTAGTAGCACCTTGCCATGCATACCCACCTCTGTGAATAGACACATCTCTCTAATTAGAATACTAAACAAGCTCTTGTCCCCATAAATTCTGTGCGTACTTAGTGCATAAAAGGCACTCAGTAACTGTTAGCCTTTTAAAATAACCACTGTGGTGACACTGATGATACAGAAGAACACTCATGTTATATAAGTAACAGAAAAGCTCTCTGAAAGACTGTGAGTAAAATGTGCTCTGATGCTTGCAGGGTTTCCAGAGGAGGAAGTCTTACAGGAGAAAGTTCTGCAAGCAGGCTTTCCCCGGCCTTTGAAGTTACACAGTCATGATTATGTGGGGCAACTCTTTTATGTCCCTTTTCTGGCACACTTTCCAGGAACTAGATGAGCATTCTGTCTACCTGCATGTACCAACCAAGCAGTCAGGCTAAAGAGACACACACAGAAAAAATGCCTGTCTTCTGGAACTTAGACTCTGAACTTAGAATCTGAAACTTCACTCTGGAGGAGTATGCACAAATGTGTGTGGTTGAGCATTTCTGTTCTTGTATGCAGGGCGACCAAAAGGGGACAATCAATTACCCTCTTTACCTCTCTGCCTTTTTCTTTGAGATAGGGTCTCTCAAGTGACCTGGAACTCGGCTGGTAAGCAGCAAGGCCATCCTCCTGCCTGTGCCTCCCACTGGAGTTACAGGCATGCAGAAAGCTATGTCTGGGACCTAAACTTAGGGTCTCTTGTTTGTATTGTAAGTGCTGCTACCCACGGAGTCATCTTTCTTGTGCCCAGATATCTTCCTTTTTGTCTGCATTTTGTGAACTCTGTGACTTTCCAGGTCATGTTTGTGTCCTTCACTGCTGGACTCAGTAACCAAGACAAAAATCACAAGCTGGCATATAGTATCTGCTCCATAAATATTTAAAATACAGAATGTTTGGGTCCATTAACAAATATTCAAGTCTACATTTCACTATACAATAATTTTAGTGAAAATTCCATCAGTTTATGAATATATCACCCCAAGAACTCCTTTTGCATGTGCTTCTCTTGCTGTCTCTTCCTGATACCCAACAGGTTGCTAGTTCTCTAGGCCCAGAGTTGTGGTGGGAAAATATTTGGAATTAATGGATCTCCTCAGCAAGGGATCAGGCTAATTTTAAGAAGGTTAGGTTGGTTTCATCTTGAGCTTTTTCAGAATGTCTAAAATCTCTAAAGGATGTATGCATCACAGAGAGAAGCACTGCACAATATAGAAAGCCCAAGGAACAACGGTGTCTCTATATATGTGAGAATCAGAACGATTCTGCAGGATGGGAAAATGAACCTTTTCATAAAAACCGGAATCAGGAGTACCTTACCTGAACAGAAATCATCAGAGTATCGATCATAAACAGCTCTGCAGTCTCTCTCGTCACACTCACACGTGTCCCCGTGAATGTCTCCCCAATCCCCAGTTGGATCAACGTCGTGACAAGAACATTCACCACAAACACATGTTCCTAGATAGGAAAAAATGAATTTTATGGGAGTGACAATAAGTATTAGAGAAAGCATCTTGCATGTTTATTGTTTAAAATGTTGATTCTTTCATATTTTGAAAATAAATATATTTAGATAAAATTATTCTAAGAAGGGAAAATGCCATCTTAAGTTGATGACAGAGATTTCGTAATAAATAAAAGTTTTCTATAATTATGTGAGATTATTCAATAAATCATTAACTGTGTTAATTTCTCTCAAAGCTAAAATTAAAACAATCTGTTATTTTTGTTTGCCAGAAACTTGGAAACAATTTGACAAAAAAAGTGAAGGCAAAGGTAACAGAAGAACTAGCAAACTCAAAGTTAGTATCACCATTTTGTGAAGTAAAATGTAAATGGTTAAGGGTTTGAGAAGCGGAATGTGAATGAAGTGCTAGGAGTAGGCAACATTGATATACCTGGGAGGGGACGTACTTTAGCCAGCCTAAGAGGTAGAATCTACAGAAACCGAATATGGTGATATATCAGGATAGTACAGTTCAGGACACCTACGAAGGAAGACTATACAGAACTGAGAGTTGAAACTGTACAGGTGGAAAGTTTTTCTGTTGGAAAGTATTTCTTGCCACTAATATTTTATTTACATAGATTGCAAATCTTTAGGTAAGTAACAGATAAATTACGTGGGATGAAAAGAAATAAATATCTTCATTTTTCTTTAAATAAAAATAAATATCAGTTTGACAAAACTTTAAATTACAAAATAAAGCCATAGGATATGAATAAATTTATTCCTATTCAAAATTTCTGAAATATAATTACTAAAATGAAAAATATATTTAAATACATGCAAGCCTGAAATTTGTATTGGAACCAAAACAACCTAAAAATCCCCAAAAGGCTACAACAGTGAAGCAACTTATCCATACATATGCATGTAGAAGGCAAAATTACACCCACAACCAATACAACCAATTCTTAGGCATCAAATCATAAAGTTTAAATATGCCTAATATAAGACGGGCAAAGACAGAGAACAAGAAATATCATAGGGAATTCATGATAAACGTGACAAGGGCTGACCATGCAAACAACTATTACTAAGAGTTCTGAGGGGTACTATAACAGTGAGTTCAAATTATTTTGGATATCAGATTATCACTGGCAATGAAGTATACATAGTCTGGAGGCTTTGAGGATGTGCCTTGATATACTCCAAATTTTGAATCTGAAGCCAATCAAATACAAAGGATTTAGGCAGAACAAAGGTGCTTATGAACACAGTGTGAGTTAGTGTGATTTGTACTAGGAAGCAGTTCACATAAACAGATGGTTCCCATTGCCTTTTTTGTGGTAAACACAGGATTTTTGACTTCCATTTTCTATAAACTCTTAACTCTTTTCTATTTATCAATATTTAAGACAGTGTATCAACGATCCCCTACAAAAATATGAACATTGTCTTTTAAAATGACTTGTACTTTTGTAGAAATTAAAAAGAGGGCTTACAACTTTCTATCTTAATGGTTTTAAAGAAAACAAAAAAAAAACACTTGTTTATAACCAGGTAGACAATATTAATAAAATGTTTTATATTGATCTATATCAATAGTTAATAACTATAAATTATATTTTATATGAATAATTTACAATGTATGTTTAAGGTCAGTCTACAACTCATGGAATTATTTGGTGCATGGTTTCTGTTATGTATTATGTTCCATACAGTTTTAATATTGCAGAAGTTAAATTCATCAATACCAATACTGCATTGCAGCCAAGCCTTCCATTACCCATGAGTAAGACAGGAGGGTTGTCTGACTGCCCTCTGGATAATCAGACACTCAGGCTGTTGATGGCTCTGTTAGTCAGGAGACATTTGGCACAGCATCTCCAGGAATTGCCTTTTAGCTGTGCTGTACCCGTTTTGGACAGATGCCAGCGAAATTTCAGTCCCCAAACTAACTCGTTGCTCAAAAAAAAAAAAAAAAAAAAAAAAAAAAAAAAAAAAAAAAAAGCTTAAAGAATGACAGCAAATTTATGTTTTCCTTATCTATTCAGTGAAGAACAAGAACAAAAAGATTATTTGTGTCAGTATGGATTTCTAGCAAAGCAAGTGATTATGAATAATATCACTCCCACGCTGAAGGAAATGCATGGAGAAGACGTCTAATCAGTGATGAGCTTTGTTTACCACCGGTTATGTAGTAACGTATATGAGTGACACACCTCTGTTGCTGCAGATTTTGCCATCTGGAGATGTGCATCTTCGTTTGCTTTCCCAGGGGGTGATGTCACACTGGAATTCGCATTTATCTCCATGCCAACCAGCCTCGCAGTAACAGTTTCCACAGTAACACTTCCCATGGCCTTTACCCAAAAAGAATTTGATACAGTGAGGAAAAAAGCAACTTTTCAAAGTACCATTAACTTTATATCTCTTCAAAAATCATTTTTTTTGCCTTTGTAAATAACAAGGGCTCCCAGAACCTTGCTGAAAATAACCAACTTATGTAATTTTTTCTTCCAGTTGAGCTTGAATCTGTATAATTATACAAATAAAAGCAGCCAATATATATTTGCCTTGGGCTACACAGAAAGTGGTTATGAAGTAAGTATTTGTAAAGAAATGACAAGATTGACTATGGAAGTCCAGTGCCACTTGAAGTACATGCATCACTAGGATGTATGCATGCCTTGTTGTGTGAATGTTTCTTCAAAAAGTCATTAAAATGTTTTATTTGCAATCAACTATTAAGAAAGCGGTAGTGCATATTTACTTAGATATGTTTTATTCTTGGCTGAAGCATTCTCAAACTAGAGGAAATATTTCATCCTTTAATTCCACTATGTCCCACAAACTGTTGACTTGTGGAATATTATTTAACGAGACAAAGATGTGTTTTATTTGTTTATGATGCAAAATATTACTTTATCTGTGTAAAGGTGTGTTACTTTTGTTTATGCTGCATTTAATTGTGTAAAGATCTGTTTCATCTTGCCTGCCTAAGGTACATGATTAGTCTAATAAAACGCTGGTTGGACAGTAGCTAGGCAAGAGAAAGGACAGACAGGGCTGGCAGGCAGAAAGAATAAATGAGAGGAGAAATGTAGGTTCAGGAAGAAGGAGAGATGGAGGAGAGAGAGAGAGAGAGAGAGAGAGAGAGAGAGAGAGAGAGAGGGAGAGAGAGAGAGGGAGAGAGAGAGAGAGAGAGAGAGAGAGAGAGAGAGAGAGAGAGAGAGGTCAGGGCAAGCCACCCAGCCAGCCACAGAGTAAGAAGCAAAGAAAGACATATAGAATATAGAAAGGCAAAAAGCCCCAAGGCAAAACACAGATAAGCAGAAACAGATTAAATTAAAAGAGCTGGTCAGAAACAAGCCTGAGGTAGACTGAGCATTAACAAGTCTACACGTCATGATTTGGGAGCTGGTTGGTGGCCCAAATCAAAAAGTCTAGTACACACACTGTTGTGTCCCACCATGTGGAAAGTTCCAAGTTAAACCAATAAAATGTAATGCATTATTGGTCTGACAATAAGACTCCCACTCTTGTGTCAAGAGAATACAAATGAGAGCTAAGCAAAAATCCCACACTGTAATAGCCACTGTGCTATAATTTTCCATATTTTCACTTGGACAACCCACCAAACTATCTGCAACAAACTGCCATCACACTTTCATCCTGAACGTCTATCTGACCCTTTCCAAAATGCTCCAAAATATCTTCAAATTTGTTTGCTGTGTGCCCTCATCTTTATAATTATCCCACTCAAACATGGATGAATGTCCTCTTTATTTTCTATTCTGTACTTTCTTAATCATAGAAGCTTGTATTTTGTGAGACTCTGACTAACATATTTATTCTTTCATTTTCTTCTTCCTGGGCTGTTACTCTGGGATGGCCATGAAAATGTGCCTGCTTGGCTGCTTTTTAATTGCTTACTGGTTTAACTTTTATTGTAACATTATGGTGTCCTTTTAATAATGAATTATAATAAATACCCATACTTTATATGTAAGCTCTTAGATTACTTATAAAATTCAATGTTCAAGAAGAGTTTGTTTAAAAATAATCATTAAGGTAAGGATCTAATTCTGAAAGATAAGGGTTAGATCTAGGAAAGAGGAGAGGGGAGGGGAGTTGGGAGAGTGGAAGTAAACTGTGTTCAGGATGTATTGTATGAGAGAAGAATCCATTTTCAAAAAAAAGGAATAAAAGGTTAACTAGAAAATAAAACTCATGTAAAGCTACATTTTAAAGCAGATATGGAAAATAATTCAAATGAAGGATGAGGAAAGACATTGGGACAACAGAAGAATCAGGACAGTGCATCTCCTTGGCAACAAACAAAACTTTGTACTGTATATATATAAACTGGTAGAGGAAAACATTTTTTTCTGTGTAGTGTCAATGATAGACTATAAAATCCTTTCTCAACGGATTGTTGAGATGCGAATGACACATGGAAAGCTCTAGGATTCTGAGCAGCATCACTCCCACAGAGTGTTACTGGATACCGGCATCCGTGGTTAAAGACGATGAAATTCCAAACAAGTGGAAACACCAAGTAACAAAGATGAAAGCTAAACATATCCTATTACATGGTTTCAAGTTCATTTTTAATTTGCATATAAAATAAGCTTCCCCTCAGGGATGTATATCAAAACTCATTGGTCCCAAAACATTTTCTCTTACACCTTACTGATCATCAGCTGTAATAAAACACTCAGATTGTAACTACTTAATGTCCATGGGAAATTTAACTGCATCTTGAACTAAACCCTTTCAAAAATGTTCTAGAATCTGGCCTAGGATGGTGGCTCAGAAGAGTTTTCTTTGCATTTGTTTATCCTGATTGTACATGCAGGTGACCAGGGACATAAGTCATTTCAGTTTAAAATAAGAAAATTTGGGCAACCCTACAAGACTATCTGCAAGCCACACATGGCTGTGATGACTTCCTAAAGCTGTGATCTCTCAGTTCTAGTATCCCTGACCTTGCTAGGATATGCCAGACATGATTAAGTAGAATACAATTCTTTTGGAAAGAGTATACAAAGGTTTACTTAGTTAAAGTGACTCTCAAATACTGTTCACTCCTACCATTTCATTGTACCAACCAAAGCTGCAAATGGACACTCTGGGCAAGGGCTTGCCACAAGATGAGCAGAAAGCAAACTAAAGAACAGGTGATGTGAAGGTACTCTTCTCAGGAACCTGTAAACTCCAAGGCAGGCATGCAATATGAATGGTGAAGGGTCAAAAACACAGTTCTAGTGTCAGACAGACACCAGTATGGAAGCTATCATACAGGTGGTTTAGCCCTACGCAAGTTGATCATGTTGCCTATGTCTCTGTTCCCACCCTTTGAGTAGATACAATTGCAGAGTGAATCTTTCAGGTATCATAAGACATAATATATTGCATATAAAGCATGTATTATAGCCATTAATGATAATGAATGGGCAAAAATTAGTGCAAGAGAAAAAATTATTGAATAATGGTGAGACAGAAACTGTGAGGAGGGATGGTATTATCTACATCTAGGAGATGCTAAGGAGCTAAATTAGGCTAACCATACCATCATACTCCAGTGTCCCTATTAGGGCATAGAACTATCTAAAGACTTATGATTTTGAAAAAAAATAAAACTAATGCAGTTAAGAGATAAGGAAAAAAATGAAAGATGGTAACTAATGTGAACAAAAGAAATGCTATCCTGATAGGACTACTTCAGAGTTATGCTGCTAGTTTGTTGCACCAATAATGTTGCTCTCCTCCGGGGGCAATCTAGTTTTGGATTAAAATAGTTCTAGAATACTCATACTCTGAAGGTCTTCGTTTAACTCTGCTTACCTGATATGTCTCTAGGCACAAGTTCAAACTGAATTGGAGGGGAAATTTATATAAAGTTTATATAAAGGAAAGCATACAATAAAACAGGTGAAGAATAGGGACTGTGACTTTCTACACTTAACATACCTACCTCCACAGATTTCTTCTGTTTCGTCATCTATGCATTCTCTATCGTCACACTCACAAAATTGGCCATAAACAAGTCCATTTCCATCTGGATTATCACACTTGCACCTGCCACAGTGGCATGTACCTGAAGCAATGAGACAGTGAGAGGAATGTTTACACACTAGAAATTATAATGAATAACGCTTTCCCATATTTCTTTCAAGTAGGTAAAGAAAAACCAATTTAATGTTCCAATTAAATATTTCTGTTGTTATGGTGAGGTGGAAGGAGATGCTACATTTTTGAAATTATTGTGGCACAAAAATTATAATTTGTACTTCAGAGTTACTACTGTTAACCTCCAGTAGTTCAATGAGCATGAATGTGACCCACTCAAAACATGGAGGTCCTTATTTCTGTCTTTTGAAACAAGTAGTGAATAAATGTCTAACTGTGTCAAAGGGAACTAAGACACTTTCGAGTTTCTGAGTAGGGGAATTTTGCTCATCTTATCCACGAGTGTTTATTCAATATTTTGCCTCATGTTGGACCAAACTATTCATATAATAAATACTTAGATAAATATAAAATAATAAATATCAGTAAACATGCAAATAAACAGTGTATGTCCAGTGATAGTGCCACATATCAGCATGAGCTGACATTCTTGTAATGGGGATGACAGGGCCACAGTGGATTTTCTTAGGTACAGATTCTTGTGACCTCAACAGAATCTCAAAGTACATCAGAGAATATTGGAGATCCTGAAAACATTGGATCTCCCACAAGTCATATACTCACCCCAACAGAGTGTTTAGCTTTACCCCACAAGAGTAATTTTGCTGAAAGCAGCGTTTTATTCAATAGTAACTAGTCAGATGTCTTGCTCTAACAAATGGATTTCCATTTTGAATTGATCCTCATGGCAATTGAGTATGAAAGTTAATACTTTATGAGTTACCACGATGTCCCTACTCTCTGAAAATTCAAAAGGCAATAAAGTCATCCATAGGAAATAAGTGTGTTAAAAATAAATAGAGAAGTTTAAATGCTGCAAAAGCTCATAGCAAGGAAAGTTAACTGAGAGCTGGAGGTCAAAGAGAAGGTGCTGAGGCATAAATAAATAAAACAGATAAATAAATAAATAAATAAGACATAAAAGCAAAGCCTCGGTTGTAATGATATTTTGTTTGTAGTATAACAAATAAAGTTTGCCTGAATATCAGAGTACAGAGCTAAGCCACTAGTTAGTGATAGAGGCCAGGCAGTGGTGACACACACCTTTAATCCCAGCATTCAGGAGGCGCAGGCAGAGGGATCTCTGTGAGTTCAAGGCCACCCTGGGCTACAAGAGATTGATCCAGTCTAAAAGAGAAACAGATCCAGGTGGTGGTGGCTCCCAACCTTTAATCTCAGTACTGGAGAGTCACGTGCCTTTTATCCCAGCACTAGAGTGGTGGAGACTGGAAGGGATATGCTTGGGCAGAGAGAGGAATATAAGGCTGGAAGAGACAGGAGCAAATGCAGTCTGAGGATTCATAGAGAAAATATCTCCCCTTCAGTCTGAGAAGTCAATAGAGGTAAAAAAAAAATCTCTGTTTCTCTGATCACTCAGCTTTCATGCCCTAATATCTGACTCTAGGTTTTTATTACTAAGAACAATTAGAACTCGTGCTACACTCAGTGGCTGAAGAACAAATAAATATGCCTGAAAAGTATCATCAAACAAACAAAATTACTAGACAGAAGCTTCTAAAAGTGGTGTAGTTGATGCTAAAGGTCTCTAACATCTGTGTTTTTACAAGGACTACAAGAAAAGACAAGCATCTAGACTAGGTAATTCTTGTTGCATGGAACATGAGCTGAAACTGGGGAAAATCAGTGCTAAGAAATTAATAATGAAGAAATGAAAGGTTACTATAGGACGGAACTATAATTGGATAAATAATGGCAGAGAGTTGAGAAAATACAGGCATATTTGAGAGATTGTTGGGAAGCAGAACAGACAGCATTCAGTGGTCAGGTGAGTATAAAGCATGGAGGGGGTTTTGAGAGAAATCAAGAATGATATTGGGCCTGAGTGTAGGTATAGTAACTATTCTGTGCATGGAAACAGGGAAGAATATGGGCTTTCCATTCAGGTACAGTTACAGTCAAATACGTTTTGATCCTATCTGGTTAAGAATTGTTTAGATTGAGATCCCTTCTACTTCTCATCCCCAGATGCACATGTTCACATAATCTCTTGTTCACAGGATAACTGTGAGTCTGAGTGAGAAATCCTTTCCCTTCTGAAGGTTCTGCCGTACCTAGTGCATAAGAGGCTTTCAGGAAACCATGAATCTTTCTTCTTCTCTATCTAAAACAATAGAACATTAGTCATACCCAAATATCTTTTCCAGAATCACCTTGTGTCTAAGGACCTTGACATAATTCTTATTTTCATGCCTTCCACATGCTTCTGCTACACAGATCACCTGCAATTTCCTACTATCTGTAAGAGGGCCTCCTCTCACAAAACCACAAATGAACAGTTATTTTGCAGAATCTGACTTTGTTGTTTTGTGCATTGAGGGTACTCCTGTGAATCTGATTAAACTCAATTATCTTGTCCTACTTTTTTCTGAAACCTATTTTAACTTATAAATATTACTTGAAATATAATGCTATAATTTCAGTACTGCTTCATTTGATTTTTCTCTCATTATCACCTTTCTCTTTTACTCTCACATCTCTTCTTGCTGTCTCTTCCGCCCACATATTTAGTCAGTAAGCTTTCGTGTGACCTATTATGTTATTGCCAAAGTACTATAGGAGGTAATAAGATAAAGAAAATTAGGCAAATCAAGGACCAGAAAGAAAACCGCGGATGATATAAATGTAAACCTCCATATTTTATAAATATACAACACACACATATGAAATCAGAAACTATATGAGAGAAAAATATTCATAACAGATTCAAAGCAAGTGTTATACAAAAATGATGGGTTCTACAAGTAGAGAAAGGTGTTAGGAAGAAGTAAATTCTTAAGTTATTGTCGATAAATAGAGAAAATTCCAATAGGTGAATTAAAACACCAAGAAGACTTGTGGTTACGAGGAAACAATCGATAATTATGATGCAAATAACAGAATAGTTAAGACTCTAATGAATTTGGATGAAAGGGTATAATGAATACATGTGGCAGAGTTGAAGAACATTGGCTAAGGATTTTAGACTTTCCCGGAATACCAGAAGCCTGCCATGGTTTAGCAGCAGAGAATAGTTTGGTGAGAGATGTATACATTTAAGTCATTTCCCCTCCAGAAAGATGGGCAGGATCTGCCACTGCCTCCCAAGTTTCATGACTCCTCACTGACGTCTTCTACTGGCAGGCTCATTTCCATCCACATATGTGAACCATTCCTCACCAGAGTGGGAAGTCTCCAACAGCTTAGAGACTTCCTGTCTTACCATCCAGCAAAATTCACATCTGAGCCTCCAAGACATGGCAGATGGGAGCCCAAGCAGAAGTGCCAGACTCCTGTGTTCCTGCTGTGTCATCTACATCTCACTCTTGGTTGCCAGTCAATCACACTCTAGGACTGGTAGCTTTGTACTTGGTTATTTTAGCTCTAGCTTTTTCTGCTGCCTAACAAAGCAGAAAAATGGTGACCAGACTTGAACACCAATCTTCATTCTGTTTTAAGGTACTGAGGCTTCACCTTGCTCTGCATATTGGTATAGAGGAAGCTTCTGAAGGTTTTGTCCTCAGTTCCTTCTAAATGTGCCTTTCAATTTATGCCCCACAATGGTTACCCTCTCTCCCTCTTTTATATCCAATTTGCTGCCAGAGAACCAAATTATAAGAAAAAAAAAACTACTAATAGAGATGTCTTAGTTAGAGTTTCTATCACTGTGATGAAACACAATGACCAAAAGTTTGAGAGGAAATGTTTTATGTAACTTACCACTACAGTTCATCATCAAAGGAGGTCAGCATAGGCAACTGAACCCAGGAGGTGATGCAGAGGTATAGAGGACTGCTGTTCATTGGCTTATCTCTCATGATTTGCTCACCTAGCTTTGTAAAAAACCCAGTCCAAAAACCTAGTACCACCAGCCCAGGGATTGCATTGCTTGCTCTTACAGCCAGATCATTTTCTCTGGCTTATCTCTCATGATTTGCTCACCTAGCTTTGTAAAGAACCCAGTACCAAACAAAACAAAACAAAACAAACAAACAAACAAAAAAAAAACCTAGTACTGCCTGCCCAGGGATTGCATTGCTTGGTCTTACAGCCAGATCATTTTCTCAGCTGAGGTTCCCTCCATTCCAGCATGTCAAAACTAGCCAGCACAGGGAAGCAATAAAATCTGTAGTAGCTGATAATGAATTATTATTAAATTATGGTGGGAATTATTATTAAAGGAGCAGCAGGTGAGAACAAGATTGGCAAAGCAAAACAAAAGACTTAGACATCAAGACAAAGTGTGAGGGAAAGGATTACATGTAAATATGAATGTAACTTTTCCTATTGGCCTAGCAATCTCACTCCTGATATTTAATCTGATAATAAGATCTCCCAAAGAAGGAAATTGTAGATAGGTGAAATAATACCATGAATTATTATTTATAATTTCCAAATAATAGAAGTTCTAAATGCCTAAGTATAGGAGTCAAATTGATTAAATGGCATTGCATAGAAAAACTGAGTACTAAGCTGTTGAGAAAAGAATAGAAACTCTCAGACACACAACTCTCATGATGAGTTGAGTGACAAATGCAGACTGCTAAATAGCATAGTGATCTTGCTGCCTCGTATGTGAAGGATAAAAGAAAAACATTGGTACTGGAGCTCAGGGAGTAAAGGTGTTTTCTCTGCTAGCATGAGGGCCTGAGTTCAAACCCTTGCATCTATGAAAAAATAATAAAATAGACAGACAAAAGCTTTGTGTGTCTGCTACCTCAGCTCTAGAAGACAGAGAAAGGTGGTCCTAGGAGCTTGCTGGACAGACATGTTAATTGGTAACCTTCCCAGTCAATGAAAGACCCTGTTAAGGCAATAAAATATCCAACATATTGCTTTGGGCTCTATATATATATATGCATAGGCACTTTGCATACCCTGCCCTACAAAATACAACATTAACAAAATACTGAGAGAGAGCGGATGGCACGGGGGTAGGAGGGAGGAGAAAGTCCAAAACAGCAAAGCTAGCTCCTTACAACGCTAATACTTCCCAGATGATAGCATTTCTCTCTTACTAAAGACTGATGAACTTCTGAATATGCTTTCTGCACCATGTTGACTTTGGACTCCTCCTCATACTCTATACCATAGTCTATTATAAATATTGAAGGGAAGAAAGGCTAACAAAAAAGCCCTAAAAGTAAAAGCAAACAAATGAATACGTTCAATTGTATTTCAAATGGGTGACAAGGGCACCCTATAAAGAGTTTAAAAGGAAGTCAAGTAATTTATGAATATAGCTTTGGCTAGACCCCTAAACTGAGCCAAGGTTAGGGTGGGGCGAGGCTGGATGGGGTTGAATTGAAATCAAGTCCATTTTTGTTCCTATACATTTACTTAGTATAGTTGTATCTATGAACACTTCTTTAAAAACAATTTTAGATGTACGTAGTATAAAATTAGGCAAATAAGTAAATATTTTGCTGCTGTGAGGAAGCATCACAGATGCCAAACTGAGCAACATTTCATTAAGAATATAAATAATTGGACAGTTGGTATGATGATTAGATACAAAATGGCTCCTGAAAGGAGTGGCACTATTAGGAGGTAAGGTCTTGCTGGAGTGGGTGTGCTCTTGTTGGAGGAAGTGTGTCACTATGGAGGTGGGGTAGAAATTTCTTATATGTTCAAGCCATGCCCAGTGAGACAGTATATTTCCTGTTACCCTCTGATCAATATATAGCCAGTACCATGTTCGCCTGCATACTGCATACTCCCTGCCATGATGATAATGGACAAGTCACCTCAACTAAATGTTTTCTTTTATAAAAGTTGCCGTGGTCACAGTGTCTTTTCACAGCAATATATATCCTAAGACATTGAGCATAGTGGCACATGCCTGTGATTCCAGTAGTAGAGACAGTGGCAGGAAGACCATACTAAGTTTGAGTCTAATCAGGACTATAGCAAGAACTAACCTGGCCGGGCGATGGTGGAGCACGCCCTTAATCCCAGCACTCGGGAGGCAGAGGCAGGCGGATCTCTGTGAGTTCGAGACCAGCCTGGTCTACAGAGCTAGTTCCAGGACAGGCTCCAAAGCCACAGAGAAACCCTGTCTCAAAAAACCAAAAAAAAAAAAAAAAAAAAAAAAAAAAAGAACTAACCTGGCCTGGGTTACACAATAAGAAAGACCTTGCCTCAAAAAATTTAAAACAGCAATAACAATAACACACAACCCTTAAAGAAAAATAATAAAAAAGGGGGATGTAGTATAGGTATTTTTTGTTTGTACTTGTATAAAATTATCAGTACTATGAAGCCAAAATCTATGGAAACAGTGAGAGTAAAGGAAAACAGAAAAGATTACACCATAACCCTGTCCCTAGATTAGATCTAGTGAGAAATAGTTGTTGCTATGAAGGACATCATTGAGACATTGACCACATGGCATTAGAGCTGGCAATTTGCATTAAAGTATTTATCAGTTTTACAAAAGAGGCTACAAATATCTTAAAATATACTTTCTACTTTATCAAATATGCTTTATCATCTATCAAGACTATTCTGCCCCAGGAACATTACTGCACACCTATAATACCAGCTCTTGCAAAGCAAAGGAAGGCTGATTTCAGGGAAGCTGAAACTAACAGGGTCTGTATAGCAAGTTCCAGACTACCCACGGAGTAAGACTTTGTCTCAAGAGGAAAAAAGGACAATTCAGCATATTTTCTCTTTCATGTAATATTGATGCATCAAGTCATATTCCTTAAAACATCTTCAGATTCAGTAACATTTATTTATGTGTGTGTTTAAGCATATGCATGTGTGTGTGTGTGTGTGTGTGTGTGTGTGTTGGCGGATGATTATGAATTAAAGAAATTCTATTGAAAGCAAAGCAAAGACTACAGTAAGCAGAGAACTGAAGAGACTGTCTTTAACACAGTCTGATCTAACTGCTCAGCCTGCTCATTCTGGCCTAACACATCCTAACACCCTTTGTTCTGTATACAGTCCTGGTTCCATTAGCAAAACACCCTGACTGAGCTTAATCTACAGTAAGCAATTTGTTACAGCAGACTGTGGAAAAGTCCAAGCTCTGATTACAGAAGAGATCCCCCAATAATGTAAGCTTCAGGGGTGGGATATTTGTGCAAATACTCAAAGGCTTTCCTTTATCATGTCAAACAAATCTTGTACCTCTGGATTCGAACACCCAGAGGCCTCAAAACACACACCGAGTAAACTAATGACGATAGACAAGCAGCTGCACTTCGTAGCCTGTTACGCACATTTGCATGCTGTAGGGTTGCTTTCTCACCTGCAGTACTTTCTCACCAGTGTGAATTTCTCCCTCTATTACTGGTGTAGAAACAAGCAAAGGCCATGAAAACAGGATACCAAACAAGCTGACACCAAGCAACTTTCTAGGCAAATGAAGATGCTTCGTGCATTCATAGTCACTGAAATTAAATCTCTCTCTCTCTCAAAAAAAAAAAAAAAAGTTCACATTACTTATCAAAACAATTGAAACTGAACCTCGAGGGCAGCATGTGAGCACAGAAATTTTAGTACTTTCATTTGAATGCTCAGGTTTAATGCAGTGGGGAAAGAGGGACTTTGAGATCCACGTGTGCACACTGAGGCAACTTAATTACAATTAGAGTATTAAACTATATTAAACTACCACTGCACTGTAAACTGAAATTGTTCTGTTTTGTGTGGTTTTAATAATTAATTTTAACAATTTTTTGTAATTCTTAAGCAATATTTCTAAATAACTCCTATGAAATACACAAATATTTTGAAAATAAAAACAAAAAACAAATGAAAAAACACCCAAACCAAAAAACAAACAAACAAAAAACTTTGCTATCATTGTATCTTCAAGGTGGTTCATACCCAACCCAGTATCTGAAACTTCCGTCAAATTGAAAATTCCAGCTCCATTGCTGCTACGGTATAAACGTAAAGCACTTTTGATCTCTAATATAAAGTAAGTAAATCAGTCATCTAAGTCTTTTTTTTTATTTTATGTTTTTTTTTATTGAGAAAAGAAGAAAAAAACATAAACAAAAAACAAGTTTCCACCTCCTCCCAGCCTCCCATTTCCCTCCCCCTCCTCCCACCCTTCTCTCCCACCCCCCACTCCTCTCCCCCTCCCTCTCCAGTCCACAAAGCAGTCCGGGTTCCCTGCCCTGTGGAAAGTCCTAGGTCCTCCCCCCTCCGTCCATATCTAGGAAGGTGAACATCCAAACTGGCTAGGCTCCCACAAAGCCAGCACATTAAGTAGGATCAAAACCCCGTGCCATTGTCCTTGGCGTGTCATCAGCCCTCATTGCTCGCCATGTTCAGAGAGTCCGGTTTTATCCCATGCTTTTTCGGTCATAGTCCAGCTGGCCTTGGTGAGCTCCCAGTAGATCAGCTCCACTGTCTCAGTGGGTAGGTGCACGCCTCGTGGTCCCGACTTCTTTGCTCATGTTCTCCCTCCTTCTGCTCCTCATTGGGACCTTGGGAGTTCAGTCCAGTGAATCCAGCACTCAACATCACTGCTCTCCATTTATACAAAATCTCACACAGCTTCATTTCTGGTGAATACCTTGCTTAAAGGATGCATCAGAAACAGCTGGAGACTATCAAGCCAGCAAGTCTCAACAAGATGACATTCTTTTCCTTAACAATTTATCTAAATTACATTTTAAAATGCATACTCAAAAGTGGCCTGTTCATCATTTCTACATGTTTATAAAATTCTATTTAAATCCAAATTTTTATTAATTTTTCTTTTTTGAGATCTCTTTATTTTTTAAACAATATTTTCTCATTTTACATACCAATCCCAGTTCCTTCTCCCTTCCCTCCTCCCAATCCTCCTACCTTCCCCACCCATCCACTGCTCAGAGTGGGTAAGCCTTCCTATGGGGAGTCAACAAATTGTGGCACATCACTTTGGTCCAAAGTTTGATTATTTTAATGAAGAGCTGTACAGGGATGCAGCTCTTACCTGCATTGGAGCAGATGACATCTTGAGAGTTCCTGCACATCTGGTTGCTGGTTTTTTTGGTCAGGTTACACTTGGTTGGGTACTGGCAAGCTTCCCCAGACCAGCCCACATCGCACCTGCACTTCCCGCAGTCACAGGTACCATGGCCTGAGAGAGCAACAACAGTTAGTGAGACTCTGTTTTTTTTAACCAAGGAAGGGTCTATCATAACAAGAACTCTTAAGAGTGGTGTTGCTTCTGCTATTTGCACTGAGCTCTCACTGGGACTCCTCTTGGATATCTTACCATTGCCTTGTGGCCTAGAGATTCTGTAGCTTTGGATCTCCAGGACCATCTCCTTCACATGCTCTATCAGGTCATAGATGGAATGGATGTTGGGCTGGGCCAACTCACAGCCCTGGTTCTGAGCTTGGCTAGTAGCTGGGTTTGTCAGCCCACTAATTTTCCCTCATCCTCACCACAGTGCAAGCTCTCCAGCACTGACCCAGCTAGCTCACCTGATGCAGCCTGCAGCAACAGGTAGGACCAGTTCCTGCTCTCAGTCCCTCAGGTGGCTTACCTGCATCCACACCACCAGGGCCAGTTCTACTGTGTTACCCAGGAAAGACGCAGATGCAGTGCCCACTCTCCTGAGTGCAGCAACTGGTGAGAGACAGGACCAGCTCTCCTGCCCTCATATCCCTGAGGCCAGCTCTCCCTCCTGCCACATATGGTGAGGGGATGGAGTAGGGTGCCTTTCCCTCACCCATGCCACCACATGGGCAGATGAGGGCAAGACCAGCTCTCTTATGTTGATAGTCTTGGGACCGGTTCACCATTACCTCCACCACCACCACCCCTGTCAATAGGGTCATCTCTACTGTGCTGCCCAGGCAAGATGCAGAATCTGCTCTCCTGGGTGCTGCAGCAGTTGAGAAGGAACAGCTTTCCTGCTATCTTAACCCTGGGGCCAGCTTTCCCACCTACAGCAGGTGAAAAGAAGCAAGGATCATCAGTGAAAATAAAGATCTAAGGAGTTTATTCCTCAAAATGGCTCTGGAAAACCTAAGTTCTACATCAGCATGATTGCTTGTCACATTTGTAAAAACAAATATTAGGTCTTCATGCTTTTGTTCAATCCACAAAGGACAGAGATGCACCTCCAACGTTCTTTTGTCTCCCAGACATGTCATTCATTCCCATCATGATAAAACACTTCTGTGAGTCACAGTATGACCCCTAAATCATGTGACCCAGAGCCAGGTTCACATTTCTGAGGTCTAAAGGAGGTTTTAGATAACCCATGGCCACATCAAGTTCTAACCAGAAAAACAATCTCCAAGCCTGACTTTATGGAATGAGCAGTTTGGGTTTTTCTTTTCTAAAACTTCAATTCCCATAACTCTGAAAATCAGTATTTAAATGAATAATCCATCATACTTAAGAACAAGCCCATTGACCTTCAAGTAAGTTCTAAGGAGTCAAGGGAAAACAAACACACAAAACAAAAAATGTCAGAGAAAAACAAAACAAGACCCAGCCAATTCAGTGGGGAAAACCTGTGCAAGATTGCTTTCATTCTTTGCAGCCTCAGCCATGGTGAAGCCAATCACAGTAAAATATGAAATCAGAACTTCAATCCCGAGGAAGAATTCTGAGACCTAGTCCTGTGGCTGAGCTAACGCTTTGCTCCTACAGTGATATAGAAAGAGTTATGTGAAAAATAGTCAAGTCACTGCCACTAGATCACCACTTCCTGATGGATTTTAGAAGGGCAATGTGAAACTGCCCTCTCCCTGGACTTCTGGTGAGGTCCTTAGAAGGTATGGTAGTTTGAATAACTGATTCCCATAAGCTCATGGGGAGCGGTACTATTTAAACGGGAGGGTTGTTGGAGTAGGTATGACCTTGTTAAAGAAAGTGTGTCACTGAGGGGGTATGAAGGTCTCACATACCCTCAAGCTATATACACTGTGGTGGTTTGAAAGAAAATGGCCCTCAAATGAAGTGGTAATGTTAGGAGTTGTGGCCTTATTGCAAGAAGTATGTCACTGTAGACTTTGAGGTCTCTTTTGTTCAAGTTTCCCTCATTATGACTATCAGTTAACTTCCTATTGCCTGTAAGATGTAGCATTCACAGCTACTCCAGAACTATGTCTGTCTTCACACCACCATGCTACCTATCATGATGATGATGGAGGTAATGGTGAACCAGTCCCAAGACTATCAAAATAAGAGAGCTGGTCTTGCCCTCATCTGCTAACAACAACAACAACAACAACAACAACAACAGGGAAAGTGACCTGGACATGGTCACTTATTAATGCTCTTGTAAGTAACCCATAAACTCATTGGCCAACTAAGCTAGATTGGCATAGAATAGTTTTTGTTGTCTGCTATTTCATGCTTGTTTCATACCTTCCCAGAAGTCACTTAACAAATGCACTTAAGATGTGAACACTAAGTGTGCTGATTTTTCTTCAGACATCACTCTTCTCAACCCTTTCAATAAGTGTAGTTAAAAAATACATGTTCACATAATAATGCACAAGTATGGATATGCATTGTATGTTGTGTTATTACTCAACACATACAAATACTTACAAGCATCAAAAAACACAGTTCTCACCAACTGTTAATTTCCCATGAGGCATCACTTATCTCTACAACAATGAGAACTTTTGCTATATTTATCTCCAAAATATGACTAGATTTGTTCATACTACTATACATTTCAAATATTTTTAGAATTTCCTTGAAATAGGTCAACTAGAAGAAATGCTTGTACACAAATATGTTTTTCCCCTCTGTAAAACACTGGTTTTGGTTTGTTGTTGTTGTTTTCAAGACAAGGTTTCTCTGTGTAGCCTTGGCTGTCCTGAAACTCACTTTGAAAACCAGGCTGGCCTCAAACTCAGAGATCTGCCTGACTCAGCCTCCCAAGTGCTGTGATTAAAGGTATGAGTCACCACAGTCCAGCCTAAAATGCTATTTTAAATACTACTTAACTGCTGAGTCATCTCCAGAATGGGAGCACTGTACTGAGCTCCCAAGGCCCAGTTGAAGATCAGAAGTTGGGAGAATATGACCAAGGAAGTCAGGACCGCGAGGGGTTGGTCCACCCACTGAGACAGTGTGCCTGAACTAATGGGAGCTCACCAAGGCCAGCTGAACTGGGACTGAACGAGCATGCAATCAAAATGGACCCTCTGAATGTGGCTGACAATTGGGGCAGACTGAGAAGCCAATGATAATGGCACTGGGATTTGTCTCTACTTCATATACTGGCTTTTAGTCTTTTTGGATGCATACCTTCTTAAGCCTGGATGGAGGGCCTTGGACTTCCCACAGAGCAGGGTACTCTGCCCTCCCTTAGGACTGGAGGAGGAGGAAGGGAGGGTGAGTGGGGGAGCAGAAGGGAAATGGGAGGAGGGGAGGAAGTGGAAATTTTGAATGGTATTATTTATAAAGCAATAAATAAATAATAAATAAATAAATGCTACTTAAACCAGGTCTCTCTCTCTCTCTTTTTCTTCCTCCTCCTCCTCTTCCTCCTCCTCCTCCTCCTCCACCTTTTCCTCCTCCTCTCTCAGTGTGGTCATGGAACTATAATTAGATTCATTTGTGACACTTTAAATTCCTCTTGAATTCTACCTACATCCTGGATGATTTCTTTTAATTTTACCTAAAGCAAACTTACTTTTTGTGGGTTACAATTCAGTGGATTTTGACAAAGGGATTCATAGACAATAGACACAGTTTTTATATAGCAATACCAACACTCCACAGATTGTTTCTTGGTCCCTGCTAAAGAGCTTTCTTCCTATCCCTCAACAATGACTAGGCTAGTCTGTATTTCTGTCCTCCAGGTGAAGCCTGTTTTTCAGCAATGGGTGAATAGAATTGCTTCCTAAACATTTTTCTAAATCGGGCTTCATCCCCTTGTCAAGACGCATTAAACCCAATTTTGTATAGGTATGAATCACTATTCACTTGGAGCTTTTTATCTTTATAAATTTCTGACTAATATTCTACTGTATGGGTTGAAAAGAGTGTCCATTAACAGGTTGAAGGGCATATGTGTTGGCTAGAAATTCACAACTGTTCTCAATTAAACTGATTTATATGTTTGAGTCTAATTATTCTATGGCTACACATTTTTGAAATAGGGCTGCAATATCAATAAAAAATAGAAACCATAATTATATTTGAAAAGTTCCAATGTGACTGTAACATTTAAGTGTGTGTGTGTGTGTGTGTGTGTGTGTGTGTGTGTGTGTACGTGTGTGTGTTTAGTGTAGTTCTGGAGAAAGAATTCAAGACTTCCTGAATGTTAGCCAAAATGTTTATGATGGGGTTACATCCACAACCTCCTTGTGTCACTCATGTTTACCAAAAGAATGTGTGATCCAGTTTGTCCATATCTCACAACCACTAAGTACTTGGAATGTCACATCTCTTCTTCTGCTCTTATCTCTCTTCCATTTTCTTTTAGATTCTAATAATTCTAATAGATTTGTAGTGAAACATCATTGTGGTTTAATTTGCATTTCCCCAATGATTCTGATATTTGGTATTTTTAAAACCTGCTTTATTTGCTATGTATGTATTTTCTTTTGTTCATTGCTATGTTGGTTTTCCTTGGTATGAAAATTTGAAATTTTCAGATTTTAGACACAAGGTTGCTGTCATAAAAATATTTGCAAATATTTTCTCCAATTAGCAGCCTATTTTTCATTCTCCTTAACAGCTTCAAATAAAGACAAAATGAGTTGTATTTCATTTAAATGCATTTAATCAAGTTTTTTTTAACAACTAATTATAATCTGTCTATATATTCTGCCTAATGTCAAGTTTATTTTCTTGCTGTCAGTAAACAATCTTGGGTCCTAGACCTTGCATAATTATAAAACTTTGATTTTCAGAGAACCCCTGTATGTTCTTAAAAATGCTTTGGCCACATAGCATAATTGCTTTGATTTTCTATGTAAAATACAAAATTATACTTCTTATACATGCAAAAATAAAGCTTTCAGAGATTTTACTGGGATTTCTCAGAATTTATGGACTTGAAATATCTTACTATTATCCAGGTATTAAATATAATAAAATGCTTTAGAGTTTTGAGTGTTGTACCAGGCTGTGTTTTGAAACATATTCCATTTTGG